ATTAGCAATATCGTGTGCGACAAACTCATGATGCAGCTACATAAAGTTTTTGGAATGTGCTGAATATATATAAATTAAAATGTAATCTTCCATTCCCATCTGTAATCAGTCTAGTTAATTGTTTCTTAAAGCGAAAATGCTGTTTAAAGTTCATGCTGCAATTATTGAACTGCTGAACAAGAAATGTAAAGAGATACAATTGAAAAAATCTGCTAACTGCAAGAAGTTATCTTGTATAAATAACAGATGGTTAATATATCAAGCTATAAACGGCTATGTATAATCATAAATCATACCATTCATATTTCTCATTACCATAGGCTTTTCATACTAACTGTTCAACCTTTTTTTCTACACTAAGCGGAAACACTTAAAAAGTTCATAACTCCTTTTTTATTTGACCGTACGTAAGATATAAACGATTCATTCGGACCCAACTTAAATATGTGGTCGACTGAAGATTGACCGCCTTACTTATTGACCTACTTATCTTACCGAGTACTCCATATTTCGTTGTTGTATTAAATACGACCAATTATTTATGTTCAGCATGGATTAAATGTCAACGATCTTGTGCGTTCAGCGCATTATTATTATTTCTGTCCTACTAATAATACAACCAAACGTAAAAATATAAGTCGATTAATAGATAAGCCAGTCTGTATATTCGGAACTCGCTCGAATACAGACTAGTGTTCAAATACCATACTGTTCTGTAGGGGTGCTTAACAGGGCACTTTAACATTTTAATTCAGAGCATCCAGCATTCTCCTCCAATAGCAGTACGTCCTTTACGTGTTGAACATCAATTTAGTGACTCATAAAGAGAAGCGAAGCTAGTACCAGACTCATATTCCTATATAATACACGCATTTTCCACTTTTTATTTTGTAGGTTGGTGCTTGACCGGCTTAATTCTAAAGTAATGGGACAAGTTAGTTAGTCACTTAACTGCCTGTAGCACCATACCTATCTTCCTAAGACTGTCTTTTAACATATCGGTTACATTTATTGAAACCAGGCTAGTGGCTTGATAATATTGATTGTTATCGATAACAGGTTTTCGGTTTTTCATCCATCATTATGAAATATTTCTCCGAGAATAACTTGTAAAATGGAGCACTATGTGGCATTGACATCAACTAGATGGGTTTTTTTATTTAGGGCAATAGTTGGTCAGTTACTGTTATGAATGTATCCTAAGGAAAAATTCAATCTGTAGTGACTTGTCTTTATTAAACGAATGTGTAAAATGTAATTGTCTCTCACATCCTCTCTTTGTAGCCACAAATACCCTTTCGGGGCAATTTCACCAGAACAGAGCCGTCAGCTGGGACACTACCGCCAGATTATGGACGAAGTGACCTTGATCCTCTAGCAAGTATTGGAGGGCCATCAAGAGGTGGTGGAATGATTTTAGATCCAAGGCGCATCATACCTGGTAGTCGAGTTGATAGTGACTCTTTTCTCGGTGGTCCCGATGTTCTTCCCCCTGGGGCAGTCCCTCCGGGGGCTCGATTCGATCCTTTTGGACCCGGTATAGGACCTGTTAGACCACATCCTTCAGGTGGTCGTCGCCATATTCCAGATCCTGATCATGCCATGCCTCCTGGATTCGATAACTTCTATATGTAGACCTCTCAATGACCTGGGTTTTTTCTATTCGATTCAATTACTTAGAAGATTCTCTTATTTTCCCTATTATGTATCACTTCATTTTACAGTTACAACTATATATGTTGCTTTCTTTGTCTATCATTTCAAAAGCTTACTGAATATCAAATTGTTTTATTTTGTAGAGAACTATAAATAGTTATGAGTTAATAGATATAACTCATTTATACCTATATATAGGTTCATGTTAGCTAAATCAAATTAGTTTTACTGTGTCCATGATGAACCTAGAATCTTGTCCGTTCTGTTCTACTTTACGGCTGCGAAACATGGCCACTAAGAGTAGAAGATACTCGTAAGCTACTAGCACTTGACCACAGATGCCTCAGAAATATTGCTGGCGTCTGCTGTGATCACCGGGTAAGTAATAGTGAAGCTAGACGCAGGGTATTAGGGGATGATGGTAAATCAGTCGATGAGGTTGTGAATCTTCATCGACTGAGATAGTTAGGCCACGTGTTACGTATGCCCGAACACCGATGACGACGACGTGCAATGCTAACCGGTGTTGGGGATGGTTGGAAGAAAGTTAGGGGCGGCCAAACCAAAACGTGACATCAATGCTTGAAGTCACTAACTTCTAGTCTGTGCCATGTTGGTAGATGCAGACTACTTGGTTGGGGTCCGTGTGACTATCGTAACCAATAGTTGGAGACTTTTCTTGTCAGAAGGGGGTTTTGTGGAGATTTCAGTAATTTAGTAGTTGAATTCATGAGCCAATTAAAGCTAGACCACTATGGAAGACCTGGAAGCACTGGACGGCTGTTTCTCCTTAGTATTGTAAAAATTAAAAGTGCCCCACCCCTCAAAAATGAAGTAGTATAATACTGAAGATAATCAAACTAGATTAGTGTTCTGGACTCAGCAGGCAGGGCTAAGCAGCAAGAAGGACCGATAAGAACTGTAGACTGCTCGTACGGGTTTACGCGTCATTGGTCCTGTCGATAAATAACTGTTCTCTAATTGGCAGTGTCATTACATAATGTATTAATATGACACAAGGCCACAAGTTATAACATTAACAAAACTAGACCTAGTATATTACTTCATTTTAGAAATTACATTTATACAAAAAAAATGGAGTCATAAATTTGTCCTTAACAATTCATATATCTATTCATACGCGAATGCTTCATTCTCCTATTAATCTGTTCTGCCGATTCACATATAAACATAATTAGTAGCTAAATTTAAATTTATATGTTTCAAGTTATTAATTGTAAATTTCACAAATAAGGTCATAGCGAAATTTGTCAATTGGAAATTATACCTTAAGCAAGAGTGCTTTGACTAAAAACTAATCTCATAGAAGATAGGAATTGTGGCTAGTAGTGGGATTCGGGATACACGTTTCGTTCACTTTAAGACTTGTCAGCTGTATGTACCTTTATGCCAGAGGTTGACGTTCACTCCGCGATTCGAACCTAATATTACGATTGGTCAGAATTTAGTCAATAATATCAAGAACAAGGTGATTTACAAACATTTACAGATTAAACATAAAATAATCTATCTGATTACGTTTCATATAATAACAATAATTGATACAAACTTAAAGTGATATCACATACAAATTTATGCACGAATTACTATACTTATGTTAGTCATTCAACAGCTACTAGGGTTTTGTTCTCGGAGTTGGAGTGAAATTTTTAGTTACTTCTCTCAGGGTGTTAGAAAACTTTATTAGTATTTTTTAACTTGTGACTTTTACATTCTAAATGATTCTTAAAAATACATAATTCGTAACATTAGCTTTCTATTTCTCCATACCTCTGTTAAAATAGTTGGGGTGTTGATAGTCTTGTTGTAATTTATTATTATGTCTTATTGCCAGTAGTATGTAGTGTTGGATCTATCAGTCAATCAGAAAGTACATGTCGTCATCAGTTTCTGAATTCACCGTATTATCATTCAATCCTCTGAATGTCTGCGAGGTTCGTTAAAAAATATAACATGTACAGATCCTTATGAAGTTCTTATGTAAAATTCCCTGCTGTAGTTAAGTTGGATGGTTTAAATTACAAATCTTCAGAACAATTTGTCACCTTGATAAATTTGGATAGTGTAATAAGATGGGGATTGTCAGAGATATGTAATCTATTGGCACAATATTTTTCGAACAGTCGAATCGCACATACACTTTTTAAGAACATTTATGTATGAAAAAAAGGTTAACTAAGAAGATGGAAAGTAAGAGGAAACAAAAGAAATGTGAAAAACTCAACACTCCGGATAGTAAAAATGTTTTACCAAGGTAATTTTAGGGCGAAATCAAACTCTTCAAATACACAAAGGGAGTTCGGGTTTTCATATGACTGATACTTCAATAAACCTCAGTATACGCCCTAGATAACTACTGTGTTGAACCACAAAGACTGGCTTAAAATTGACTTTATGACTTGTTTCAACAGTGTTTAGTAATGGAGCGAGATAGATGTTTATCGTCTACTCTTGTTGGGTCATTTGTTTTCGTAATAATTTAGGTATACGTTCAGATACCTTGATTTACAAGTCACAATTACTTGTTCTTACGTGTGTGTAGTCACACACATGTTAATTGATAAACAACAGGATGTGATGCAATCGTTTACATGGTGTCTAGGTTGTCGGTGAATCATGAATCTTGGTCACAATAACCGGACAGTATCATCAGGTCATTAATTGCTTCCAAATGTTTATGTTAATTTTTCTCAATGACAAGTATTCTATGCGTACGAAACCATAAGAATTATATACGAATATTCGTCAAGATTAGAACGAATAGTTTGACAGTAATTGAGCGCCGAGTATAGAGAAGTCATTATATGTGAAAATTATATTTGAAATATTCTCAGCGATTGAAATATAACTAATTCCAACGTTTCGTCCAGCTAGCTTGTCTGGACTTCTTCAGGGTAATAATCAAAATCAAAATTATCAAAGACATGTATAGCTTTTAACAATCAGAATTATACCGTGTGAAACCAATCATATTTGGATGTTGATTTTTTGTAAAACAGGATAAAATGAGTCAGTTAACTACAAATCATGTGAAGAATTCAACTACATAGAAATAATTAACTGAGCAACAAATCGTATGTGTGTGAGTGTGCAGGTATGTATGTACGTGTAAGAGATTGATATGAAGGTATAAATAAATAAAGTTCAAGGTTGAAAATTTTTTGATAATGAAACATCGATGTACATGCCAAAACATAAATTGTATTGTTTAAAAACTCATTGAATTCTTTCAAAAATAATAACGATGCATGTGATATTAAAAAACAGGTTTAAACAAGAGATAGGTTCCAAATTTATTTGTCAAACAAAATTTGCCATGTAGTTGCCAGTTGAATACCATCTTATCGGTTCAGGCTGTTCTTGTTCGCCCATATATGCAGCGCTTCTGCTGTCAATCTTTCTTTATGGGTGTTAAAACCTTTCTGAAGTATTTTGGCCCCTTCGAAATTAATCTTGTGCCCTGTTTCTAACGCATGTAACGCTATCGCTGACTTATTTTCAAGTTTCTTTAAATCGACCGAGGATTTTGGAACATTTTTCAAGCATTGTTTGTGTTCCTTCAATCTTACATTCAGTTGCCTGGATGTTTCTCCAACATAGGTAGCATTACAGTCATGACAGCGAATCTCATACACAATGTTCTGTTGCTCTTCCTTTGCTAATTTGTCCTTAACTTTCATTAATGTCGATCTTAATGTGTTATTCGCTCTAAAATACACTCTTATATCATGTTTGTTTAGAATCCATTTGATTTCTTCTGATGTTTCACTCCGGTAAGGTATGACTACGGTGTACTTCCATTCTTTTCGTATACTTTCTAGTTTAGTTTTTCTTTCATTTTTAATAATCTTCTTTAAAAACCTTTTTGGGTAGTTGTTATCCCTAAGAGTAGAAAATACTTTATTTAATGCGGTTCGTTGATCTTCCTTGTCTGTAACAATCTTAGTACTTCTGTTCATTAGATTTTTCACTACATTAATTTTCGTGCTCTGTGAATGGGCTGAATTAAAATCCAAGTATCTCTCGGAATGTGTTGATTTTCTGTAAACATTTATTTTTAACTTCTTATTATTGTGTCGACGTTCAACTAAACAATCTAGAAATACTAGTTTGTGGTCAACTGATTCTAATTCCTTAGTTAGTTTATTGTTTTCAGAAATGCTGTTTGCATTGTTAAATAGTTCTTCCATACCATCCCGTTTATTGATAATAAAAATATCGTCTACATACCTTAATCATAACTTTGGTGGACATAAACTCTTTGCGATTGCACTAGTTTCTAGGGAATGCATGAATAAATTCGCTACAATCGGAGAAACTGGTGAGCCCATTGCTATACCCTCTTTCTGTCTGTAAAGTTGACCTCGAAATATGAATAAGGTAGATCTTAAACATAATTTTAAGTATTTTATAACCTCTGATGGATCTAATGGGCATCGTAAATTCAAATCTAAATCAGATTCTAAACAATCATTGATAATATCCATTGCTCGACTGATAGGTACATTAGTGAATAAGGAAGATACATCAAAACTTGCCATTATTTCGTCTTCTTCTATATCGATGGTATCAATTAAATTCTTGAATTCCATAGAGTTTTTAATTCCATGATTAATCCGTTTTTCATATGGTTTGAGAATCTTAGCTAAATATTTAGCTAGATTGTAAGTCGGTGAATTTGTATAGTCTACCACTGGTCTTAGTGGAGTATTATTCTTGTGGATCTTTGGTAGTCCATAAAATCTGCATGGGTTACAACTCTTTGGATATAACATAAACCATAAGGACGATCCTAGCTTAACTTTTAATGATTGTAAGAGTTTGTTAGTTTCTGCCTTGAGTTTATTAAGAGTTGTTCTACTTTTTGCTTCTTTGATTTTTTCATATGGACCCTCTTGTAGATGTTCCTTGGCTTTCTTCTCATACTCTGTTTTATTCATAATAACTGTAGTATTACCTTTATCTGCTCTCGTTATTATGATCGTTTTGTCCTCTCTCAGCTGTTTTAGTGCGTAATATTCATTTTTATTTATGTTAGGGTTGTGAGGTTTCTGATGTCGCTTCGGACTTCTGATTTGACTGGGTTGGCACGTTTCGATTATGAAAGATGTTACTAATTAAGGTGTTGTCAAACTTCGAATACTTCTGACATCTTTGTACTAATAATTATGTGAATTTCAGACAGATAGCTAACAGTAACCCCTTAAATATGAGTAGGTCCGTGAGAGATGTGCTCTGGACTCCAATGTTCACATGTGCAATAGATCGACTACTTATATTCATACACACTGGTTGCTGGTGTATACAAACCAGTTGAAAGTGTCACGTTTTGGATAATATAGAAATCAGTTTGTATGAGCGAGTCAACCAAGCTTATTCCCCACAAATATGGGTGATATGGTGTTGTACGATGAGTCCGGTTAAATGAATCTTTACAAGATTATAAATGGCGAGTCCTGCTCTTGTGGTTATCGAGAAGAGCACAAGCTGTAATCAACGAGAGTACAACTCCTAACTCATATCTGTGATAATGGCATAAACTTCAGTCAGTGTTGGGGTAAATTCGACAGCGATGTTTCCGGATTATTATTATTATTTTTATTTGAGTTGTCCAACAGATTGGATGGATAAAAGACCAGTTGTGACCAGTAGTAGTGACCCTAAAGGAACCAAATTATATATACAGTATAACATTGAACGGTGTTAATTTATGTCTATTTCTATTGAAGTTGAGACCCTTTTTAAGTAACGATATTTCATGTGGGTTGAGAGGTCTATCCGATAAATTAACAATAATTTTATTCATATCATGTGTGTTAGACCTATTTTCCATATGTTGAACTTTGGTGTTTGATGAATGTTTCAATAGTTTTCAAACTTCCTAATTTGTCGTTGTTTTGATGATTGATAATAAAATTGTTCTCCACGTTTGAAAAATTCAATTATATCTCATCTTATTTCATTCGGTGCGATAACTGACAATATGTCATCGATATTGCAAACCCTTGAACGTAGTGCCTCCAAATTAATAGTGGCCTTGTGTATACGTTCTCTAATGAATGTTCTAGTGGCTGATATCGCCGCTTTGATTGACCGAATAGAATTGTCTGGAGATATGACCATCAGAGATTTCGGAAAGACATTTTGTTTTAAGCATCGTATGCTAAAAACCCTGTTATTGTACCAGTTATGTATTTTCTTTGATAATTTAGTTCGATTGGAAAATAATTCATACGAATATTCGTCAAGATTAGAACGAATAGTTTGACAGTATATAAATAGACATAAATTAACACCGTTCAATGTTATACCAACAGTAGAACCAGCGCTGAATATACTCCCGAATGATACAGCGAATGAACTGAGGAATAAAATAATGAACAAATTATTACATAAGAAACCTCACAACCCTAACATAAATAAAAATGAATATTACGCACTAAAACAGCTGAGAGAGGACAAAACGATCATAATAACGAGAGCAGATAAAGGTAATACTACAGTTATTATGAATAAAACAGAGTATGAGAAGAAAGCCAAGGAACATCTACAAGAGGGTCCATATGAAAAAATCAAAGAAGCAAAAAGTAGAACAACTCTTAATAAACTCAAGGCAGAAACTAACAAACTCTTACAATCATTAAAAGTTAAGCTAGGATCGTCCTTATGGTTTATGTTATATCCAAAGAGTTGTAACCCATGCAGATTTTATGGACTACCAAAGATCCACAAGAATAATACTCCACTAAGACCAGTGGTAGACTATACAAACTCACCGACTTACAATCTAGCTAAATATTTAGCTAAGATTCTCAAAACCATATGAAAAACGGATTAATCATGGAATTAAAAACTCTATGGAATTCAAGAATTTAATTGATACCATTATAGTATTCAAATTATCGTATGAACTAGGAATTCCAGGATTAACGCAATTGAATTAAGAAGACACAGGCACAAACGAATGTATTGTATTTAGGATTCGAAATCGAGCATTCAACAAGTACAAAAGAATCATTAGTTAATTCAAACACCACATCCGCCACAGCTTAAATAGAAGTATAAGTGTTTGTAATCGGTTGTACGTCTTCTTGTTAAGTTCATCCTGAGTCTGTCCGACATTGTATAAGATAAAAACTTTGTAGTATCTAGAAAGTGCTCATTAGTATTGGAATTAACAAACGAAATCGGAACAGACTCACCTGGAATTGTATACAACCAGCATGTCGGTTTTGTAATGAAATCATTAATATCTAGAATTCGAACCATAGATTTTTCAACACTATCCCCCCCCACGAAATAATGTTGGATCTTTATACTCCCAAGTTATGAATAATGTGGCTTCATTTAAAACATATATCTCACATTGTTTAGAGTAAACATTAGAACTGTTTTTGTGATAAGAGTAAACAGCAGTTGATATGAAATCATCCGAAATATAATAAAACTCGAGGTCACTTAGTACTCGTGCTTCGCATTGGGCAGGTTTTTCACGAAGATCAAATACATTATGAGGATAGGTAATATATGATATGACATCAGGATTTGATTCTTCTGAAATATTCTCATGAAATTCATCAGGACTGTCACTGCAGAGCGTAGGATCGTTAGAAAAATCAGCATCTATCCAAACCACATCAGGTTTTCGATCATGATTAGGTTCATTTAACATATTTTCCTCAGAATTGCAAGTAATTTCATTAGAAATATGTGAATCATTAGGAAAAGTCATACTTGGTACAATAGCATGAGAATTCTGATAAATCGGTTGATTAGGAAATGTTGTCTCACAAGAATTCTGGATTTCATTTAACTCTGAACTGCCATATGACTCTGCACTGTCTTTTGAAATCGTTGATAAAGATAAATGATCATCATGAATACTCGACTCAGTAGAATCAGAATTACAAGACTTAATATTAATTGCAGTAAGATGAACATTAGCATTACAAACTGACTGAACTTGTCCAATATCACGACATTTGAAGCATTTAGAATTATGAAATTTACATGAATTAGAAGAGTGGAACTTGCAACAGGACAAACACTGACCAAACTTGTCCCCATCCTCGTGAACTGCATCCAAATTCAATGAATTGTCTGCATAACCTTGAGTATGCACTAGGTTGAGATGACGTAGTAATGTAGTGGACTTTTTTATATCCTCATGAATCATTTTACGAAATCTTCCTCCTTTACGACATTTGAAATTTGTATACTGAGCATAGTCTAGCAGTAGATCCTTGAGAGCTGTATAAGAAAGCGAAATGGGTTTTTCCGGCATAGCCAGAGTTCTTAATAAGCTGTATGCTTCTTTTCCAATGAATGTGAGGAAGTGTGCCACAATATTAACATCCTCATCATCTTCCTTGGTCATAGCCCAGATTTCGAACCTTTCAAAGTAATCTTCAAAAGCTTCTGAAGTTGAATGAATATCTAACTTTTCCATTGCAGGCTCCATCGCGACGCCAATATAGTATTCAAATTATCGTATGAACTAGGAATTCCAGGATTAACGCAATTGAATTAAGAAGACACAGGCACAAACGAATGTATTGTATTTAGGATTCGAAATCGAGCATTCAACAAGTACAAAACAATCATTAGTTAATTCAAACACCACAACCATCGATATAGAGGAAGACGAAATAATGGCAAGTTTTGATGTATCTTCCTTATTCACTAATGTACCTATCAGTCGAGCAATGGATATTATCAATGATTGTTTAGAATCTGATTTAGATTTGAATTTACGATGCCCATTAGATCCATCAGAGGTTATAAAATACTTAAAATTATGTTTAAGATCTACCTTATTCATATTTCGAGGTGTAGTGTCAGTCATTATTTTAAGCCCATATATCTTATATTCTAGTTTTCAGACATTCCATTTTATTCATTCTACTTCAGTCATATTTTGACCTTGTCAATTATTCGCTTATTAGTCTTGACTGTTTTTATATATGAGCGTATATGTGTGTACACTTCATGTCCCATGACTCATAGTATGTCTGTAGCTTATTTTGTCTGACTATAAATATGGAATAACGCTTAATTAAAATGGAGTTGGCTTCCCAGCCATCTTCCATACGTGTCAAAATTGCTTTGTTATGGCTCTCGCTCGCTTAGCATGCGAACGGGTCACCTCATTGGTAAGCCCGCCGACGACGAACGCAACGCAGCAAGCTACGTCGATGAAGGAACTTCTGAACTCTATACGTTCAGCGAACAAATTCAGCGAAGCCAGCGCAATTTCTAATCCGACGGACTCAGCAAAGCCTGTGCAGCACGACATGGACATGCACAAATCTTATTATCTTATTGTTACTTTGTCCTCATGTCAGCTATTCTCATTGATCCATTCGTCGGTTTGT